TAACGAATTTTATCTTCCACATCCTCCTTCAAGATTTTCCTTATCTTTTTATCAGCAAAGACCAGTAGACGAAGCCCTAATTTGTCAAGGTTAAACGATGCCCAATTCTGATCTAGAATCCCTTTCCTTTTTTCATTCAATTGTTGCTCGGTATAAGACTCAGACAAAACAATTCGTTGCTTATACAATTCCTCTAGCACAATATTAGCATGATCTGGTAGGGAAATTAAAGAGGAAGTTATCGGAGTCCGTATCCCTAGTTCATCCTCCCTTCGATCTGGCTACTTCAAATCTCCCCCAATAGATTCACTTTTTTGTTAAAAAAAAGTTTGAATGAACCACAAAAAAAATTATCGAATTATTGGGTGATTTCACAGTTCATCAATCAAATTTGTTTGGTAAAACAAGACCATTTACTAAGCCAAAAATTCTTCCGAGGTCATTCTGTTACTTTGGAGAATTAAATCACGATGGAAATCTATATTTCACATGCAAGCATGTGAGTTGTGTCCAGGAACAATTTCATCATTTTGTATCATCATAATGTAATGATCATCCAAGTCGTTGACACGATGAAATATCACTAGAGTAAATTTTATCATTCTAATGTATCCAAGTCGTTGTCACTACTGCAAACAGTACTCAACGACATTTACTGTGATTAAATTAAAATCCAATCGTTTAAGACACTAACAAACCATATTGAACAAAACCAAAACATAGTTGGCACATAACTAAATGAAAAAAAGTAAAAAATAATTATCTTTAGTTAATACATACTACTTAAATACAATAAAAATCAATGTTGTAAAAATCGATCCGAACTTATTCGTCGAGACATGTTAATTGCACACAAAAAATGAGGATTGGTCCATTTTTAATAAAAAAAAAAAAAACTGGTGTGAATTTCAACCCGTCAAGGTCAGGTCAAACCTACGGTTCGATTGGAACTGGTCAGTCACACCGAATTTTTTTTTCTTATTTTCCTTTTTGTGATTTTTTTTCTTTTTCCATTGAATCCCATATCTTTTGTTTTCTTATGAGTTGGACATGATTTTAGAGTCACAACTCTAAATTTTATAAATGACAGTAATTAAAAATAAATTACTTTTTTATTTTGTTTCTATTTTTAGTACTCAAATGTTACATTACAAAAAGAAAAAAAAACCAAAAAAAAAAATGAAAACAAGGTTATAACTCCCCCCCCCCTCTCTCTTCTTTCTTAGTCTAACGTGCACACACAGTAGAGTACAAAACTATTTAGCCTTTCAACCATTTAATCAAACAACTTTCCTACATCCCATCTCACCAACCAATCCTTCCTGGCAGGGTACAAAGATATTAATCTATATAAATTCAAAGAACGTTGAGTATGCAAAGATGGGAGCAGGGCCTTTCGTGTGTAAGACTTGTATACCCCCAAAAAAATTTGCGAGTGCAACAAAGCTCTCGACCCATAAGGGGAGATTCCACAGGGTCAATTCAACAATAAAACCAATCTTATTTTAAGAACTTACTTTAATTTTTAACATATTTATATGCGATAAGAACTGAATTTGGTTGGTCACCACTCCCGGGGGCACATGCTCCTCAAGCGGCATGACAGTCCAACATAGAAGTAATAATATTTTTGTCATTTAATGATTTCAATATCATATTCACAACTTAATTAAAATCTTGTTTCATATTATTTAAATTCAATTTTAAACATAATTTAGTTTTAAGTAACTAACTAACAAGTATAACTATAAAATTAAATTCTATTTTGTTCGTTTATAAATTATGCTATTTTAAACCTCTTAGATAAAAATACATTATTAATCCTGATAAAATTTTGATGATGTATTATTAATATTATTAAAAGTATATATGATGTTGGTAATATTCGGTTTTTAGTTCTGGGCTGAGGGGTTAACTCAGTAATATTACCGGTTCGATTTCCAGTCCAGACTGGCAACATTGATAAAAAAAAAAAAAGAAAAAAAAGCCGAATTTTAGATAAAAATGGTAAGATAATAATTTTCAAGTCAATGAAAGTGGCAAAACTTGACCTTGTGTATAGGCTCGTAAGGTGGATTAATATAAGTTTTGAAAACTTATGCCATTTGGTTTTAGGCATGTGAGACTGCTAGCAACCTGTTCAAACTTTCACCTATTTGAACACATCCAATTATTTAGTCCACCATGCATTTCACATTTATCTGAGATTTGGATACTACTATATCATGAAAGTTTTTCTTTCAATTCTGATTACCTATTTTCCCTCTTGGCCCTAGCTGCTTCGATTCCTAGTGCGATGCAATACTCGCCAGTTCTTAATTGAGCTTGTGTGCCCCATGTCTATCGGGAAGATTGTGCTAATGACCCTTCTATAAAGCTTGTCTTGCATCAACCACCACCAACAAAAAAATTGGTTACCAAAAACAACTTATAGATCTCTTCATCGTTCCCGTATTTCTTTCATTAGATTTAAATCATCATCTGCATTTGAAAAGAATTCTTTCGGTCGTTTTCTATAATAGTAGGGAGAAAAATTTTATAGAACAATTTGAAAGAAGAGAGATATTTTAACCTAATCTAATATACACTATCACATATATGAAATTTGACATATATCGTATAAGTTTGGGGATATACGTTTACTTCATCTTCGCTTATGTAATTCAGAAGAGTAAGCCAATAATGCTACACTAGGTGAGTGAATATATGTGCATAACTGGCTACATGTAGCTAGATTGTGAAATTTGAATTGATTTTGGGATGCACATAAATAGCTAGTTTGCGATCAGTAGTTGAAAATTGGCAAATTGTTCTCCTTTTGACATGGATGTTCTAAACATTGAAAAAAAGTACCATCAATGACTTGAGAAAATTCATGTCGGTCATATACAGTTTACAAAATGCAGCATTGTAACAAGTTTCGTATTGATCATGATAATGAGATTATTACATTGAAAATTTGATGTTTAACATAAGTCCAAAGAAATCAATTGGAGCTTATTTTCATAGAACAAATCCAAATACTCATTGAGTGTGTCTCTCAAAGGAACAATATGTTGGACAATCCAATCCCTTTGATCTTAATGCCTTTTCCCATATGCACCCTCTAGAACTTGTACCATAATACACATCGCTTCAAGATAAAGGCATTAAGCCGTTACATAGTTTTTTTGTTACTTGAGTCAATGTGCGTACATTGAACTATAATGAAGTTGTATATATTTAATGTGTTTGTTCGATAGGGATTATGATACAATCACACTATTAATGAAGAAATATTTGTCCCAAAATTAAGATCGAGAATCCTAATTTCATCATTTACTATCCCGCACGTTGTTGTGTTAGTTTCGCACTTAAACATAAGAATCTGATGACAACAAAATAACAAAAGTCAAGACTTACACATTAGAAAAAGAAACCTCACTTTAAAACACCAAGAGTATCATTGAGCCTCTAACTCTCGAACATTCACTACTACGAGGGGAGCGATTTAAGTGTTGGAGAAGCAATCCTAAGTAATCCAAAAAAAAAGAAAAAAAAAACAATATATTAGTAATTCGTTGATATGTAACAACCTATATTATAATTTATTATCTGCATTACAAGTTAACAGTTATTTAAAATAAAACTCATTGGGAACTAAAACAAGATATATATAGGAATAATAACATTTCAAATATGTAATCAAGTTTTAATATTTGTAATCTTGAACTGTGTTTTTTTCATCCTCATTGTTAAATATTACTGGTTCAAATTTTAATGTAAAGAGGTCAAATGGATAATTAATTACGAATAATATTTTTTGTTCGATCAGATTAAAACACAACGTTTGATTGCAAAATAAGATGTAACCATAAAAATAATTCCAGAAAAAAACCAAAATATCTTACTATACCTTTACAGTTTTAATCATAACAAAATATCATAAATAATTGTTCTAACTAATTATTTTTTATAGTTTAACTAATTTCAAAAAGTATCTAACCCGATTAGAATCTCATAACAAATTACCATAATAAATTTTGATAACAAACTTTTTCAAAAAATTAAAAAAACGGATGATTTAATTGACTTGTGATTATTAGGATTTTGGTTAAAAAAATGATTTGTGAACGGTTGAAATTTAAAAATTATATGATAGAATTTACTATACCTAATTGAGCTCGAGTTTTCAACAATCGGCTTTAGATTTGCACCACTTATTCCAAAAGCTTCTATTTTGATATATAAGATTTTTATTGTGGACTATATGAAAGTTTCGGCCAATTTTTTATCCTATGATATTCTATACACCCTACATAGGCTCAAACTTATATGCCAACTTTGTACATTATTTGGTGACGTTATGTTTAAATCCTGCCATATTCTATACATTTATACACATTTAGCAATGACACATGTATTTGTCGGTTTCGACATGCAATAGACAATTGAAATATGACTTCATTTGTATCTATGATTGTAAGACTAGAATCCTTCGGCAAGGAAAAAAGTTACTCAATTGGAAGTTCTTTGACAAGAAAAAAATTATTAAAGGTATCTAGTAAAAAAAATATCTCCAATTCGACTATTGTGATATCTTCAATTCGACTATCGCGGGGGTACTTTAATCTTGAACTCACAATGCCAAGGATATGTTGGAAAAGTGGTATTTCTGAAATGCAGTGCCGAACAGAACCCAAAAAAGAATCAATAACAGAGAATAAAGTCACAAATGCAGATTAGATTTGAGTATGAGAAACTTTACCCTTACAATAACCTCCCGTATAAGGATCAACTCTTGATGCTCTAGAGATAGCATTCGAAGCAGCCTCACATGCTTCATCGTTATGCATAGAGTGATCCCTAGTTATTTTTTTAAAAAATCATTTCTACCTAGTGTTTCTATCAATTCAGAACAATATTATTGTTTATATTCCAGTTAAAGTCAAATTGCCTATACTTAAACAATATAGAATTCAAATGAAAGAATAATTTCGAAACTAAAATGCTCAATATTATCAAGTCAAATTCATAATATCCATGACCTCATTCTCATCGAAACCAATAGCAACGAACTCATCCTCAATCTCAGTAGGTTTTCCTTGATCATCCACAGTGAAAATGAGTGCTCTGCCTTGGAACCTACAAAGTAACACTTTGAAGATCTTGTAAATAAAGTGTTCTGTTTCTAATTTTGCTAAGTGAAATTGAGTAAAGCTAAATTCTTAGCCATGAAATAAATTTTTTAGTACTATGCTCTACTATTTTGATCTGAGAAAACTTTCTAAAATCAAGTAATTTTCTTATATGCGCTAATGAAACCATAAAGGAAATTCCTTTTAATGTATATGAAAGAAAATTTTCTGATGGATTTGAAAAAATTAGCATTATACACATACAACAATCAATCAAACTGTGAATATAAAAAATTGCTCTATCACAATAACTACACATAACCAAGTACTCGACTTTTAAAAAGGGTAAAAGTTAATAATCAATTTGAAGGTAAAATAATAATCAAATTCATGAAAAATCGAATGTTTGCTAGGAGCTTGAGGAAATGGCTATATTGGCTCTTTCCAACCATGCCATTTCATATTCTTCTAAATATGGTGCCAAGATATCTCTACATTTTGAGTGGTAATCATTCAGCCATTCAATTTCTTCAGGGACCAAAGACTGAGATCAATCAACTTGGTCTGATAAGGTGCCCATGTTATATGCTCAAATGTCAAGTACCCCTTCCCACCGAAATTGAACTCCGTATTAGCGTCCTTGATGATGAGGACATTTTCCAGTCTTAGACCAAAATTTTCATCCTCGTAATATCCAGGTTCATCTGTTACCGTCATTGAAGCTTGCGATGGTACACTACGTGCTGATGGCCTAAAACTAATTGTCGTGGTCCTGCGTGAACATTTAAGTATGACCCAATTCCATGACCAGTTCCATGCCTATAATCAAGCCCATATTTCCACAAAGGCAACTGAGCAAGAATATCGAGACTAAATTCATTGGTTCCAACTAGAAATGTAGCATTACCCAATGCAATATGACCCTTAAGAACGGCAGTATAACATAGTTTCTCATGTGATGTCGGGTTTCCAAAGTGAACCGTCCTTGTTATATCTGTTGTTCCATCCAAATATTGTGCTCCTGAGTCAAAGAGATAGATACTATCAGGGTCAAGCTCTGCACAACTTTCAGTGTCAGGAGAATAGTGAATAATTGCACCATTAGGACCAACTAATGAAATAGTTGGGAAGCTCAATCCTCTGAAATGCTCTTTGGATGCTTGAAACTGCTCTAATTTATCACTCACAGAGAGTTCGGTTACTTTAGTAGCTTTTTTATATTTATTATTGACACTCTTAGCCGCTAGAAAATAACCTGAAGCACCATATAGTTCTTGCACCTGTTTATCCAACCATGCAAGATACTGCACAACCGCTGCCCCATCACGAATATGCGCCTTTTAAGCCCATCCATCTCAACATCGTTCTTTAAAGCTTTGGCTAGAGCCAAAGGTGACTGTTGCAAGAGAACCTTCTCTGCCTTAAGTTTTGAGTAGAAAGCAAAACAACAGCTCCCAGGATCCACCCAAATCAGCTGGTCATTACCATTTCCATCTTGTGCATTCGAAGAGGGCGTTAATTTATCAGATGCATGTAGGCCAACCTCAGAAATGACATCATCATATTCTCGTGTCTCAATTCCATTTTCCTTCATATATGAGCTGACTGCAAGAGTTAACTTCATTCTATCCACATAAAAGAAAGCCGAGGTCAATGTCACAATTGCAAATGTGTGAACAACTGGACAGTACGACACATCATTCCCATGAATGTTGTAAAGCCAGGCAACCTCATCAAGAGCTGTTATCATGATTCCACGAGATTTTTCCTGTGCGAGCTTCTCTCTCAAATCCTTCAACTTCTCGGCAACCGAACGTCAAAACTCAACCAGGTCACAACAACATGGTTTATTTCGATCAGCGGCCGATTAGTCTGGATATTTGAACCAACTTCTGGTCTTTCTTACTAAACAGAAGCTCCCACTTCTGTGCCATGTCCACCGAAATACACCACGGATCAACGCCAATGGATGACTCTTTTGGTAGATTATCGTATATCTAGACATCCACTGGCGGATCTTCTCCCATTCGCATGAGCTTCCATTGATCGCTGAGCTATTGTGATGCCTATAGAAAGTAATGTCCATTAGTCTGTAGGCGCGCATCCACCATGGTTATAACTGCCAAGCCGGTGCTTCCGGTGAAACCCGAAACGAAGACGTGCCTCTTATCTCTGGCAGATACATACTCACTCTGATGATAATCTTCGGATGGAACCACCAACACATCAAGCGGAGGGCAATGAGAAGCCATCAACAATCTCAAGGAAGCTAATGTGTTTGCCACCGCGCTAAATATTTAATACCCGATATCCGAAATCATTGTCCTAATTAATTTATATTCTAACCGAATAGCTTATCTACTCAACTCTTTGATTGTAGTGAGCAATTGCTTTCTAGTTTCTATCTCTCTTATCTCTCTATTTATATGATGCAGGGTCGCGTAAGACGGTGTAAAGGTGTCCGCTTGCGATTAGGATTTTGTTTCTTTGTTTTCTCTTCCTATTAAGAATCTACTTCGTTTATCAGTTGTTTCGTCATCAACACTGGGAATCCAAAGCTTTGTTGATTCAGCCTCATTTTGACTACTTGTTACGAAAACGATCCTTTTTGTGTGAGATATAAATATGAAGTAGAAAACATTTTTGAGTGATACAGTATGGGTACATTGATGTTTAATTAGTCTCAAACTTTGGGAAGTCTAAGAAATTAATCCCGAACAACTGTGACATTTTGATACCAATGTTTGGATGTCTGTTGAGAAATTAGACATTTTCCGTAGTTTTTGAGGGCTTTCAACATAAGAAGCCATTTTTTTTCCACCAAAAATGACTATTTAGGTTTTGATTGGTTCCTTTTTTAGTCTAATTTTTTTAGGCTTTTTTCAACACCGACTTGTTTGGCCCGTTTTTTGGCCCATTTAAGTAAAATAGTATCATTTTTGTTGGGTTTTATCAACGGCCATTTTCTTACAATAAAAGCTGAAAAGCAAAAGAGTCTTTACTGTTGGCTCGTGAGCGATGGGAGCCTTCACTCCGTCATTGATGATTTCACCTATTCCTTCCCCAAATTCGTTCCTTCCTTCATACGGTCATATACCTATTATCAAAATTTACTCTATTTCAGATCTGGGTACGGAGAATTCAGATTATAATTTTGCACAAATCAATAGCTATCAAAAAATTATCTTCTCTTCTTCTAATCCATCAAAGGAAGATCAGACTTGTCCATAGAACAAGGTGTTCAATTCGCATGGCACTGCATTCATCTTTGTTGCCGGAATTTGTGGTTTAGTTGGCTGAAGGTTGTGGCGTATCGATTTCGACAGTGTTCAAGCAGGAATCCCATATTTTCCGAGTCAAAAGATTCCCAAAGATAGGTCACAGTAAATCCGGTATTGTCCTAATAGATCTAGTGGGAAGGGTTTTGAAACATTGCAGCAGTCTCCCATCAAGCAACTCGGCGCGTTTATCTAACGTATAAGGAGGTGTGTTTCATTTTTTTTTTCACGTCTATGTAATTTAAGACATATTTCTGTTTAAGATTTTGAATTAATTTTTTTTGAACAATTTACAAAATTTTCTTGATGTTTTAAATGATAATGCTGACTGAAAGTGGAAATATTAGGTTTATGGTGATAATATGTTATGTTCAGTCGATTCTGAACTCTTTTGCTTTGTCATCAATGTAGTCTCCAATCTCCTCCATTTTACAACTCTCTTCCTCCCTCTTTCCTGTTACACCTTCTTTCTGGCCAAACTGGTCAAAGAGCTATATTAGGGGTTATTGTGAATGTGGTGAATGTAGTGAACGCAGGAACTAGTTACATGAGATTAAAATCTTTTTTGGGTAATATATGAATTTTCCTGCCCCCAATAACAAACTTTCACCTAGATTTAATCATACCTTTGACTTGGTTAATGATCATGTCAAGTTGGCAACTCTTTGTAGATTTGAGGTTCGGATGTCCGGACAAAAATCTAGGAAAGGCATTCCCTCCAAATGCTTAGATGACACAATATTCACCGATGTAGCCTGTCACCTTGAGTCAAGTATGCCCATTTCTTAACCTTTTCATTGTCGAGCAGGTTCATTTTTTTGACAAGCTCTTGAGGTTGATTAATGTTTTCGCTCAATATGTAGGCGACAATAATAGTGAGGATTCCCCTACTTGTATCCAAAGTAGTGCTATTGAATCCGAAACAGCATCAAACGACCTTGGCCTTTGTATAAAAAATTACGAAGAGGTATAGATGTGCAAAAAAAGTTTTCATTTTATAATTTACAAAAAAAAAAATTATAAAAATTACATGGTATGTTTATAGGCCCATTTATGGCAAGCTGTACTGATTCTGTTTCACTTCATATTTATTCATGTCTCACAAATTAATTTTTTGTAGGAAATGGACCCCGAAAGAATGGAGATGTTACCGGAGGAAGTCAACCACTTTGTGTACCTAATGATTGATGCCCAGGACAAAAGTTGTCTTACTTCAAACACTTTCACAAAAAAAAAGTTCGAGGAGATCGCTGAGGAGCTGCGTAGGCGCTTCCCAAACAAACGGCCTTTCTCATGTCACCAACACAGCAAAAGATGAACCAGCTTCATCAGGAATGGCGCTTGTATAAACAACTACATGAATTTTCCGGCGTGGGAATTGACCCTGACACTGGAGCAATTTTAGCAGAACAAGAACAATGGGCTCAGTGGATCCAGGTAATGGAAAATTGGTTTACTGTATGCCCTATTTGACATGTTTATTTTGATCTTCTCTGCCTTTTCACCTGCGTTGCACTTTGACCTGGTTGCAACTTTGTATTGGTTCATGATAATGTTGGATACATTCATGGATATTATGTATTGCTTCAGTTTTTCTTTTGTCAAACATTTATTAAGCCCATTTGCGTTTCTTTCTCTGAATTATGTGTTATCTTTCATCTCATCCCTCCCATAATGAGTAATCTTTGGTTGCCGATTTGATGTCTAACCTATTTTTCTCATTTCCTGCTGACTTTAATAAAATAAAAAGATTTGGGAAGCAAGGTTTATGGTATGAATACAGAGGAAAGATAGGAGCTACCGATGGGTTAATTTTGGTTCGTCGGGTAGCTCGTTAGTTTTAACTTGTTGCTTATTTGATGTTTGCTGCCATTAAGTTTGATCTTGTCCTTTCTTTGTGATTTTAACGAAATGAATTTACTCGGAAAGTGAGGCTTATGGCCAGAAAATAGAAGAGAAAGAAAGCTGGTTGTTACTTGTTCTTATTGTATTGCTTTCCATGAAATGGCTTGAATTTGCATGCCACAGATGCTGTGGCTGTCGACTGCTAATGTTGTTATTAAGCTCTCTATTAGATTCCTGAAATTAAGTTCTGTAGATGAAGGGAAATGGTAAAGATGTCTTAGATCATACTGGCATAACTATATTAATTCTTTAATCTCTTCCTTCCTCTATATGCCTTTTCTGATTTGTGTATCTTCACTGAAAATTGTTTGTATTATAGTTTGAAAAAGAGTTTGTACCTGCCAAATTCTAAGGTTTAGGATATTGGCTGGCATTTTTAGTTGTGTTTTCTGTATGCAAACAAATTTTGGGTGCATGCCATAAAAGAAGTTTTTGTTGCAAATTATAGGAAAATAGCAAAGTAAAGAAGTACAAGGAGCAAGGGTTAATGCACTATGAAGAGCTAACCAAGCTGTTCAAACAGACAACTGCTTCCGGTGATTGGGAATGGATACCTCATATGTGCCTGCTGACTCAGATGAAGAAAGACAACAAGAGCAACAATTTCGTAGTACATCTTTGAATCGATCTGGTCGTATGGGTGGTGATGTTCCAGCTTTTGGGGCTGGTCGTGTCCTAGAAGTTGGTGGCTCCTCCCGAAAAAGTGGAAAAGGAAAAAGGGTAATGGACAGTGGTGTGAGTGAAGGTGGTCTTTCCAAGAAAAGCAGGGAGGAGATGTATGATGCAGCTATTTGTAAATGGTATGGCAAGCAACAACAGAAGGAGGAGGATAAAGAAACCCTTGTTGAGTGCATGGCAGTACTCAAATCCATGAAAATAACTAATCATAAGCTCTATGTGCAGGCAACTTAGTACTTCAAGGATCCACTCAACCGCCAGATTTTCCTTATGTCTGATTTGGAATTCCGCTTATCCCTCATTCTTGTTCCCTTTAATGCCTGTTTTCTTTTTTATGAAGTTGTTGATGTATCTGTTTGAACTCAGTCTCTGGGCACCAATTTCGGCTATGGTGAGGTCAGTGTTCCATTTTTCAATGGAGAAAACCTACGTAGAATAGGCAGTATGCCATTTCATGCATTATGGTCCCATTTTTATGTGTGTTGCACGTTCTGCCTTACTAATGTAACTCTTAGGGTTGACTGTTAGGAGTTGGCTGCTCTAAACATTTGTTGGAATGTGATAGAAACGAAGGCCATTTATTGGTGTTGGCTTTAAATATTTCTGTACAAGGACTGTACAAGCCAGCATTTGTGTTAGTTTGGCTATAATTGCAGCTTGTAATAGCCGCCACAAGGACTTATGTTAACGAGTGTACTGTTAGCAGACTAATGGCAAGGAGCCTTCTATGCGCTATAATTAATGTACTATTAACGAGTGATTGTAGTATCTTGCTTCTCTTCCGTTTCCTTTTAAACATATATACAGGTTGCTACATTTTTCGTTTGACGTTGTTGACAATTATGCATCTTTTACTATCCGGCATATGACTCTTTTACTAAACAATGCATATATGTATTGCCAATTGTGTTTAGTTTGGCCTAGCCACAAAAAAAAAAAAAAATAGCACTTGTTAAGCTAAAGGAAAAAGAAAAGAAAAAAAAAAACTTGCATGGCCTAGCCCCAAAAACTAGCACCTTTTTACCAAGACAAAGAAAACAAAACATAGCACGTGAAAATACGTACTAAAGCTGAATCTTGGAGTGTTGTTCCTCTGATCAATTTTGATCTGTTAAAACATGTCTAAAATAATTGAGTCATGGAGACTTTCATAGGCTGCATAAGTTCTGCAGTTTACTCCCAACCACACTTTTCTTCAATTATAGCTTATAACTTCGACACTGACATATCGCAATGGCGGTTCCTCATAGTAGCGACCACTCTTGTTGCGTCAATAGGAATTTTTGGTATCACCTTTTCTGCTTTGTGGTTTGTTTTTGGTTTTGAGATTATGATTGCTGCGTGGAAACAACTCAAGTAGGCCATTAGTCATAGTATGCAGCTTTTCATTTCCCAACTTGTCCATTGGAAGCACAGTATTTTTTTTTTTTGAATTATTGCACATCTTATTATTGAAAGCAAATTGCCACTGGGTTGTATTGTAACTTCCTCTATATAAGGACCTAACTTGAAGTATTCCCTATCCCAAATCAAATTCCCGGCAGAGTGTATGTTATCCCATTTCTTTTATAGTTTGTTGTTAGGGAGAATAGCATTGCATTGTTTGCCTATAATAGATAATAGGAGTACAAAAACTATTTCTTTTTGGATTGCGTTGCAGAGCAAACACTTTCTTTGGTGCCCAATTGTGTGGGTGTGGTTGGATCGTGATAACAAAAGGCCATCACTTTCTCCCTTGTTCATTAGTTCAAAGAGGTACACTTTCAATATATCTCTTCTGTCATATGTGATCCTTTTTATTTGTTGTTGTGTTACCAATATTCTGTTAAGCACCTGCACTTCTATTTCTTAATTACTTGTTAGCCTCCCCTACAAATTTCTCTGTTTTTGGGTAAATGTTATCTTATTTGATTTAGAATTAATATAGAAAACAAAAATGTATACACTATATAGTAGTTAGGTTATTTCTCATTTAAGTTTCTCGTATAGTTTGATAGAATATGTTACTCTTTATTGGTTTTCACTAAAATTTTTTAATAATATTAGGGCCTTATTTTTTCTAAAAAAAAAATTAGGTAATTAGTGTAAGTTATGTTTTCAATAATAATTATTTCGAGTACGTTCTGCCCATGTTTGTTACACGATTAAGTAGACATTAACATGAGTAAATAAAAAGGGCATGCACAAGTCTTATCATCAGAGTAATCACATGGTCTGTTTTACAACAAATTAATCAGTGTGCTAATTTTTATTTTTCATCTTGTTTTGTTTTGCTTTTTTTTTTTTATTACTATTAAGGTCAAACACAATGGCCGATTATGGATGGAATTTTGGGGGAGAAGGCTCATCATGAAATAACCATCCTACACACCAAGATAATGTAAGTGACTCATAAGAGGAGTTAGATGACCTTGTTGATATGATTATGGTAAGAAAGTGGTTTGAAGAAAGAGAAACGAACGGAATTGAACGGATGCCGTGTCGCAACTCAGCACTACCTGGCCATCAATGGGTGCAAGAATTATTAATGGGACATCATAACCAGTTGTTTGAGAATTACAGGATGGATGTTGATACATTTATGCACTTTTGTCAAGTCCTGCGTGATGGAGGTTATATTGAAGTATAAGAGTTTGTCAGTGTGCATGTTTTTGCAGTTAGCAAGCCACAATGCTAGGCAACGCGTACTAGCAGAAAGGTTTCAACACTCAACGGAAATCATCAATCGACAAGTGTTGCGAGCAATTTGTAATTTGAGCAGTTCACTTATTCGGCCAAGGAATGAACATATCACGCATCGTAGAATCTTGGAGGACAACAGGTATTATCCTTGGTTCAAGGTACATTCAGTTATATACACTCAAATGTTGTCTTCAAATTTTTCCTTATTCTTCATTGTGTTGGTGGTGGAATAAACCTGTATAAATAGTGGTTTTTGAGCATGTAGAATTGTGTTGGAGCGATTGATGGCACACATGTTCCGGCCTGGGTTCCTGTAGATAGAAGGAATGCTTTTCGAAATCACCATGGACAAATTACTCAAAATCTTTTTGCAGCATGTGACCGTGACATGAGATTTGATTACATCACTGCTGGTTGGGAAGGAAGTGCTAATGATGCTAGAGTTTTGGTTGACACAATCACGAGTGAGAGGTCCGCATTTGTAATGCCTCCAGAAGGTATAAGTTCTAGTACATCTTTTATCATAAGATTGTCATAAAGTTGTAAGGGATATTAACTATGAAACAATCAATGTAGGAAAATACTATGAAGTTGACTTTGCTTACAGAAATATGCCAGGTTTTCTAGTGCCGTATCGAGGTGTGCGGTACCACCTGTAAGATTATAGAGGTCGGGGAAGAGCACCTAGAACATGGAAAGAGCATTTTAATCATCGACACTCTTCAATTTGAAATGTAATTGAAAGAACATTTAGAATTTTAAAGCGGAGATTTTCCATCTTGCGTGGTCCGACGCCGAATTATATGATATCCCGCCAAATCTAATTGTTATTGCATGTGCAACGATTCACAATTTCATAAGAGAGCAAGTCCCAAATGATTCTTATTTCATTGAGAATGATGATGAGGATTTAATCATTGATGATGAGTCAGAAGCCCCCGAGAATCCACCACCTCAACAATTTAATGCTTCATCTCAAGCCGTTGCTGCATGGAATAATTTCCATGATATGCTAGCTAGCCAGATGTGGATTGCGAGGAACTATTATTAGAGGAATAATGTGCAGGCTACATAGAAAAGCAGGATATTTTGCTTTGGTGTCTAGGTGTGGATGTCACGGGGCAAATTATGTAGTAAGGGGTTTGTTGTTTCCATGGGTGTCTCTGTTTAGATAATCTTATGTATTACTGTTTTGCTTCTATTTCAATCATAAGAGGATTATGTGTTTCAATTAAATGAAATAATATGTGTGTGTATTTTGCAATGTCTAGCGATTTCCTTTTTTTTCTTTTTCCCTATTTTTGTTCTGTTTCCACTCCATGAATTTAGACCTTTTTTTGGTGACATTGGTATGTGTTATTTATTTTATGTTCAAAAGTGTTATTATTATCATAATCATATAAGTAGAGGGGGAAAAAAGTGGCAAAAATGACTCTCACGCAGTGCACGATCATTTTTTTTTTTTTACAAGTCATAGAAATAATTCTGTCCATTTAAGTCTTATCTGGCCCACTGCAATTCTGAATAAGGGCCAAATTGGGGAAACAAATAATGTGAATGTCAGGCTATATTTGACCATTGTCCCAAACGTTTTTTTTCACTTCCTGCAAAAAACAGAGAACGGCCCAAAAATCCCGCCCAAAAGAAACGGTAAAAAAGCCCACGAAAAAAAGCAAACAAACAAACTCTTTTCTTCTTTCTTTCCTTGGCCCAAACAATAATAAAATAAATAAATAAATAAATGTTTCTTTATGTTTAAAGAACCCTCCAAAATCAGGAAAAAGACTAACGAGGGAGTTTCGGAATTTGACTTAGTTTATTAATTTTTTCTAAACGTTGTGACTAAAACGTAGATTTATCCTATATTATAAAAATTAATAATCACCAATAATCAAGCTAGTAAAGAAATGTCAACTTAATTATTATTTCAAAAAAGTAATAATAACAAAATCAAAGTATCCCGGCTAGAAAAATGTAAGTAATAATAATAAAATCTACATTCTATAACTTCACAATAATTTTTAGTTTTCATTTGTAATTTTTTTAGGCTTAATCATTAATGTGTTCTGTTTAACTGAACAACTCAGCATGCGCAGAAGTCTCATGTGGAGCACAAAGAAAAATTGGAAAAGATCAGTCACGTAGGCATACATACAGAGATGATGAGTGAGACAAATTCACAGGTAAAGGTTATAATCAGGTTTTAAATATGGGTTGGAGTCTTGGAGATCATTAATGCAAAACATAAGAGAAAGAAGAAAAAGAAAAGAAAAAGAAACCATGACTCAAAATCATTGAAACTACAGATTACGTTCTTCATAGATGACACGAGTCTCTATTAATACCAAGACTCTAAGTAATACTATTAAGTAAATCTTATTGAAAAGTGATTGGAGATCGAAATATTTAAAGGGTTAGAAGAAATGTAATTTAAAAGGTGGTGTTTTCCTTGTTAGATTTTTTGTATCTCACTCACGTAGTTGGAATACGACTTGGTCGTGAGCTTTTTTTATGTGTTTTTATCGTTTAGTATTTAGGCCATTGACCTCCTTCATTGTGAAAAAAAAAACACTGGAAAGAAATGTAATTTAAAAGTATTAACATAAACTTTTTTATCATGAAAAAAAAAGATTTTTGAACTTCTTTTCAAAAAAAAAAACAATTTAATTTCTCCAATCATGTTGAAAATTCAGTGAGTAATATTTTACCAGACTCTACCGATTTATAATCAATCTTCAATGTCGGAAACTTTTTGAAGGTTTGAAGAAGGGACTTTTGTACGGAAATATCCAAATATTACAAAGAAATGAAATTTGCCAACCAACACCCCCAACCAAAACATCCCTCAAGTCAAGACTAAAAAATGCCTAAATCAGCAGTCCGCGTTCAATAATGATATCATCAATCACAGCCAAAAGCCAGGTCAAAAAAAAAAAAAAAAACTCAAGAAAAGAAAAATACTTTCGTTTATGAAGAGTCAAAGTCTGAAACCTCTTCCAAATGGAAATACGAGCTGCAGTTGACTGCTGAAATGAAAGAAATTTCAGTCCGACAAGCTATCCCCCACACCAATCTGTTTCAATCTTGACTTTTTCCTCCCCCCCTTTGATCACTGCTAGAGTTTTGGTCTGAGAAAACAAAAACTAAAATCACTAGTACAAGCCATTTAATTTTCCAGCAAGTTGGATTGCCATTATTTTAATTCCAAATCCAAGAATCAATTCAACATTATCATTTCTGTATTAAACTATACAACTTGAGCTTGCCACCTAAATTCAACAACCAAATTCACACCTTCAATGCATCTTCCATCTTGATACAATCATACAAAAGTGTACAGATTTGGGTCTTTTTTAGTTGCTTTTTTGGCCATCAGGAAAAGGGTTGATGGCTTTTGAACAAGCATTCTCTCACCATCTTAATAACAGAAACAGAGGAGAAGAAGCAGAGCCCAAGAAGAAGCTCAGGAAGAAAAGATCAATCTTTAGGCTTTCTTCAAAGTCATCCAAGTCCCAATTCAATGGGGGTACTGATGATTTAGCAAGCAAGAATTCACAAGCAGCTCAGCCACCAAGTCTTGGTTCGTTATTGGATTCATCACCGAACTATATGAAGTCAACAAGCTGCTTTGATGCTAAGAAAGAAAGTCCTCAAGTAAGTTCCCCAGCTCCAATTCCTGTTCTTGTTCTCATTGAAATCACATAAATTGATTCCTGTATGATGAGATTTGTTTTCTGGGTTTGTTTCCAAAGGCTTAATTTTGAGGTTAGAAACCATTATTATCGATGAATGAAGGAAGAAATTCATGATTACGATTCCTTAGAATTAAGCCAAGTTTAGAGGGATAAATTCCCAGTTCAATTAAAGAAATGCATCAAGAATGCTAAAAGGGCATCAGATAATTGGTCTTACTCAGTGATTTCTGTCTTGACTGGCAGGGAGAAATTGACTGTGATGATGTGAATTCAGTGGTTTCTTCATCTTGTGGATCATCGGATATAGTTATGGTTCCTTCTACTGTAATGTCTGATGATGCAGCTATTCATCGTAATCAATCTTCTTCAGAAGTATCAGATGCATCCCCAATGTCTCTGAAGGCAACTGCGTATTCTGAAGGGAGAAAGTTACATGATTCTGAATCTAGCTATGATAGCAGTGATAATGGTAAAAGCTCAAGTTATGGTCAGTCAAAATCTGTTCAGTCTGGACACAGAACTTTGTCAACATTGACAAGGTCATCTAGCAAAAGGGCTGTTAGAATTTTGTTCAAGAAAAATAGTTTTAACCCCAGGAAGGCTCCATTAAAAAACTCACAAATGTCAGAAGAGCTGCTGAATGTGGAGAGGGCAACATGTTCTTCTATTATAAAAGACGCGAGATTCCCTGAACATGTGGAGCTTGAACCTGGGCAAGAAGAATCCCAAAGAACTTCATTTGTGAAAGTTTGTCCATATCACCATTGTTCTTTAAATGGGCATTGCCATGATCCTCCACCTCAGAAGAAGCCATTTTTACGCCGGCGAAAGCAGTCATCAGAATTAGGGAAGACGGTGAAATCAAGTAGTGGATCTGCACCTGAAACCAAGAGATCTGCTGGTAAGAAGAAAGGTTCAAAGAAGAATCAGGTACCATCAAATGCTGAATGCTTAGTTCATGAGGCTTCATATCTGGAATCTGAAGATACGAAGGGCAGTAATGTGGTTCTTCACGGAGCATCAGATCACGGAAACAATGGCCTGGAGTTTTGTGTGAGAGAAGGAATTTCTTTGAAACAAGAGGAACTCAGTCCAGAAGCCTCTGTTGAGATCAAGGAATCAAGTTCGGAATTCCAAAGCCAGGAAAGGGAATTGGAGATATCCAAGGCTCCAGAAAAGTCCTTAGGCCTGCGAAAATCCTCACTTAGCAAAGGGAAATCTGTCAGCATGTGGCATCTAATTCACAAGCATATGGTGTCTGATCTTGCTGCTGAAGAAGAAACAAAGCCTCATCAAGAAACTGATATGAGTAGGCATCTGGAAGATGCTCAAATGGAAACTGCAAGGGAAAGTTCCAATGTCAGCCCAGATTTTACTGATCCAAATGTTGGCACTTCGGATCAGGATAAAGAAAACCAAGACATTGAGATTCGCAAGCTTTTTGCTATAAAGCTAGTTCGAGAGGCAATTGAGAAGATTCTTCTTCCTGAAGTTCAGGATCAGTTATCTGAGAGCCAGTCAGTTACAAGTGAAAGTGCAGAAAGCCAAGAACTTACTGAGAAGAATCATCAAGAAGGTAATTAGTAGGCCTATGTGTTTTCAATTCCTCATTGCTTGCACATTCTTTCTTAGATTTTTTGCAATATCCACTTAGAAATGATTTTGTAACTTGTACAGATCCTCATGAAGGCACCAACAAAGAAAGTGCTACCATGCAAGTCAGTATAGATGGTAGCATCACCACACAAGAAATAAAGAAACAAGAATCTCAATCAGGAAAGAAACCAGACAAGAAATCACCAAGCAACTGGAGCAATCTCAAAAAGTGGGTTCTTCTTCAAAGATTTGTCAAGGAATTGGAAAAGGTGAGGAAAATCAACGACACAAAACCACGGCAACTGCAGTTGGAGACTGACCCTTCATCAGAAAAACTCTCCTTGAGGCGTCCGACAGGTGATGAGAAGAAAAAGGCAGAGGAGTGGATGCTTGACTATGCGCTTCAACAAGTGGTTAGTCAACTTGCTCCAACTCAAAGAAGAAAAGTGGCTCTTCTTGTGAAAGCCTTTGAAACTGTAGTTCCACCTCAAGAAGATGGTGTTCAGATGACAGCAAAAGCAGCTGTGCTGATTCGCCAAGAGGACAGAAAGCTCGATGCTGATAATCATAGTTCTGTTTTGGAGGAAAAATCTAATACAGAAAAGCAAAACACTCCTGTAATGCAAGAAGTTCAGTCTCCGACTAAACTCTGCTCAGAGACAGACTACCTAAGAAATGCCTCTTCCACCGATGCGACCTTGGAAAAATCTCAGGAGACAATTTCTGCCACTGAACTCTCCAGTTTTGCAACAGCAGATTTGGAGGCTGATTCTGAATTGAGTAGCAGAAATGAGAAGATCAAAGTTGCAAGTGAGCAGTCTAATCCATTCTCAACCAGAAGCCGTGATGTTGAAGGGCATCCAGAAGAAGCTGAGAAGATACCAGCTAAAGATGAAAATATCAAAGAGATGTCTGAGCTGGCTGGATATAAAAATCTGACCCCAAGTTCTAAGGAAATAGAGCTTGGTGATGGAAATGACAGAATGGATGAAGCATTTAGCACTTCACAGTGCTTGGTGGCAGACCAAACCCAAAAAACTGAGGCAACAGAGAACTTGGTTTCTTCAAGTTTGGAGCAGGAGGGATCAACCTTGAAGGAGACTAAAAGCGAAACCGTGCTAGAACCTGGAAGAGTTCAGGCGTTTCCTCCTCTGGTAAATGAGGCAGCTCAACTTCCCCTTGACAAGCAAAATTATCTTCGTTTGTGGCACTCAGTCTGTCAGCATGTAGTGTCAAGTGTAGCCACTAAGCTCGTGCTTGATGAAGATGATGAAGAAACAGAAGAGGCAAATAAGCCATCAGCTGTCACAACTCCTAAAGGAATTAATGAAGAGAGACATCATAAAGCCGAATTTACCCGAAGTCAAGTTCTGAAACTTGTAAAAGAGGCTGTTCAAGAGATTCTTAGTCCAGAAATTCAGGATGACTCTTCTGACACACTCTCAGTTTCCAGCGAAATTCTTCCAGATCCAGAGCTCCCTGGAAAAGATCATAATGAAGGTGCCAAAGAAAGTGCATCGAATATGGATGGCCTCACCAAGCAAAATACAGAAGAACTTGACAAGAGTAAAGAAGATCCAGCAGCTGATGAAGAAAAGGAATTGACAAAGGATGTCGTCACTGGCGAAAGCTCCACAAAAGTAGAGACAGTGGACAAAAGCATCAATGATCCACCAAAACCAAGGAACTGGAGGAAGCTAAAGCAGATGATACTTCTCAAGAGATCCATTAAAGCAATGGAAAAAGCACGGAAACTCAAATTCGGTCCACAGAACTTGCTTCCCCTGCCGTCTGATGGAGAACCCGAAAAAGTTGATTTAAAGCACCAAATGATGGATGAGAGGAGGAAAGCTGAGCAGTGGATGCTCGATTATGCAGTTCAAAACATTGTCACCAAGCTCACTCCCACCCGGAAGAAAAGGGTGGCAATGCTCGTCGAAGCTTTTGAAGCAGTTGTTCCACTTCCTGAAACGTAGAACCAAGGCAGGTACAATAAACTGATGGATTGTCATACTTCCTGAAAAGATAAGAACTTTGGGAAGCAACAAAACACATCTTCAATCTTCACGGAACAATCACTTCTTTGCCACTTCATGTTTCTGTTCATCCTTGGACCTCATTGCTGATGCTCAAGTTCATCTGGCTCCTGGTAGAATAAAATGGTTGATTTCTTCCTATGCAGATGTTCATTCAGGTTGTTTTTTAAACCATAATTTTTGTAAACTAGTGTGTATAAGATTATGGAGATTCTTTTTGTATGTATTGGAGATTGCTTGCAGATAAGAGTATGGTCTGTGTAATTGGCGTGAATTAGGATCATAATAACGTGAATTAGTTTCTTTTATTCTCTTTCATGTATTCTTTTGTACTTCTTGTGGAAGTATGTAATTATCATGGAATAAATTTTGCCTTCGTGTATTCTTTTACTAGCCCCCCTTTTTTTTTCTAATAAAATGCTGCTACTTTATATTTAAGGATTAAAACAAAATGGTACGCGGAATTATTGGTTATCCTAATCATATTTTCTGCTTTTGTTATACTTAAACAGGATGTCTATCAAACTCATTGTTCCTTCAATATCTTATTCATTTTAAAATTTTTCTGTTTAATAATAATAGCAGTAAAATATGACATGTACTGAATTACCCATCATGGAATATGCTGCAAACAGAAGCAAAAAAAAAAACAAAACATGTGAAAACTGAGGGGCAAAAAGGACAATACTAGTTTGACCATTCCGGGTTTGACCTTCGTGGAGGATCTAGAACGAGGGAGGAAAAGGAAACAGAGAAGAAGCGCCGCCGCCACTAGTTTCACTGCAAAGCGTAGAGCCCAAGTCACCTTTTGGCACTAGGAAACGTCTTTCTAAAGTTACCTTTGATTTCTATAATTCCAAAAGTGGAGTACTATATATTCGCATCAATATCCATACATTCAACAAAAAACTTGTAAAATCATCAGCAATTGTTCTTCCCTTTATTCAATTACTCTGCTTCAATTTGTGACCCTTTTTTTTTAAAAATCTGAATTACAAATTTACAATGTCTGCTGGCCTTCTTCAGTTCTACTTCTTCCCAACGGATTTCCTGAATTACCCCAAAAAAACTCAATCAATATCAACCAATACCGGCGTACCCGCTCTTGGAACCCAGAAGAAGAATCAAGAGTCGGTGTCGGTGGCGCCGCCATTCCACGGCGGTGATGCGGGTGGTCATCTTATTTCTGTCCCCTCTAAACTGGCGGCGGTAGAGGATTCTGGTAACAAGATGGTTCTCAAAGCAAAGCTGCTGCCCAAACCAAACAGGGATCGTTTTATCACGGATATTATGTTTGATGACACCTGGTTTTGAAACTTTTTTTTTTTTTTAATCGATTCTGTCAATTCTCATTTGGTGTAAATCTTCTTCTTCTTCTTTTTTTTTCCTTGTTTAATTAAGGAATTCTGTGAGTAGTTTTGACCTTTTGGGATCCATAACGGGGTATTAGTGTAGGGTTTGAGTTGTCTTTTAAAATTGAATTTTAACAACGTTCTGTTCTCTGGCTTGTGACACAGTTCGTAAAGCTCATTGTAGAGAGAAATTTTGTACAACTTCCCACGCCGTACTAATTAATTTAATAAAGTATTTGATTTTGTTACCCCACACCGTTTTATTCGTTTTTTTAAGTTGCTGCTTTGTTCTCCTTCCATCACATACAATTAATTCACTTTTTATAGTGAAAGGCGACATTTAGAGTGAGTGAGCCCTAGCAGTTAGGGCGTTGTACATTTAAGCGCGATATTGTAGGTTCGATTTCTGTCGCGGACGTGAGAAGCAGGCAGCTAAAGGAGAAAGTATAGTTGCTCTACTCCCTTTGTAATAGCCTAGGTATCTCTAAAGTATCAATAGTTGCGACCTAAATATATATATATATATATATATATATATATATATATATTCTTTCAAAAGAAAAGGGAAACAAAACCCACAGTGGTACAACAGCAAACAGAGCCTTTTAGTGTTGGTTGTCGGCTCTGTTGGAAGGTTTTTTGATGGTTCTTTTAAAATAATTAAATAATAACTGTCTCATCCCAGTGTACCTTTTTACATTTTCAATATAAAAAATACTTAAAGACACTGAAAAAACAATCCAAACGTATAAATTCTTAATGTTCATTTCATAGTTGAAGTCATCATCATTCGCATTAAATGCAAAATTCAAGCCAAATTACAAAACCTCTTAAGCTTTCCTGCTTATTTTCCGTCAATGGCTCTAACCATCCCTTGTCAATAAAACATCCGTAGCACTTATTACCCGTGTGTTTTAATAATTGAATTTTGTTAATAATAGTAATCCTGACCAACGGCCATTCAACTGTGAACTCTTTGGTAAGGCGAGAGAAAAAGATATTATAATGGCTTAAATTTCATTTCCGACATTTCGTCATTGCTCACTCCTTTTTGGTCAAAATCTTTGGCTTTTATGTTTCCACAAGTTGAAACACATCGCCTTCATGTTGAGTTGTAGTTCTCCAGTAAGATTTACTTCTTTCACAGAAACCATTAATTTACTCAACTTGTACTTATTCTTGAGAGAAGTTAAGCATAAATATATTGAAAAAATACATATACAAAATTATAAACCACAATCCGATACGCAATCTGACTTATCACCCCGAGTAGAAACTTCCCAAGTATATAAACCACCTACCCAACCAATAAAAAGCAAAAGCAGAATAGATATTTTATGAAAAAGGGAGGATTAAATCCCATGGATTATGTCAATTTGCGAGTCTCTATCATGCAGTCTGACCAATATATTTTTACCAATAATTTTCTTGCCGAAAGGAGCAAGGCATGATGCTTGACATAAGGCGTAGGTCATTACTCACAAAGGCTCTTTTGGATTCTTCACGAATATTCTTTTAGAATAAGAAAACACGTAGAAGCAGAAAAATCCATAGAACATGAAAAAGGTTTAAAGCTTTAAGCTTGTATTATAGACTTTTTTCTTTTTTTTTTTTGGAGATTCCTTTAAAGCTTCTTTTCTAGAATTTTCAATACTCCCAAAATTTCAACTTCGCCGGTTATGCTTCGGATTAGATTCTTTCCTAATCTTGGAATATTATTGGTTTAAACCATTCCAAAAGGTCGAATTTCAGCTATCACTAATCTCTCTACATCATTTTCACATAGAGAAATGAGTTTTGATCTGCACCAATCATGAAAGAGTAAAGCGGTTTAATGTTCAACTAAGTAAAAGTGTTATTCGTCGGGTCAGGGAGGCCTTTAAACATCCGAAATACGCTACAAATTTCAAACTCGACGTGAATTGTTTTTAGTCAAAAGAAGTGTTTAAAATTTATCATAATATTATAAAAATTTCATATCGCATAATATAGTTGCTTTGATGTTTTAAATAAATGTCCACCTTTTTTAATACCAATATAATAAGGGTGACAAATGACAATAATCAATTGGCCATTTTGACTAGCAAAAACCAAAAAGGCCTATAAAAACAGAACCATGTTTTATGCTAACTACCACAATATCTAGATCGATCAGAAAATCTCTCTGGAAAGAAAAAAATTTTGATGGCTGGTCTCCAATACAACTTCTTTCCCACTGATTTCTTCGTTCCTCCTCAGAAGACAGTTGCCAAAGACGCCGCCACTCGCCCACAACAACTTACTCTGCCAAGAACAATCGATGAAACAGAGGATGTTTCCAACGGTCAAAAGCTCAAATTAACCAAGAACTTGAAAGCAATCCCTCCTTCATCTTCATCATCATCCGTAACCTTGGCTCCGGTTCGCAAGCGAACTCAACAAGCCCAGTAAGTCATCCTTCAGGAATCCCCCCTGTTTTTGGAATCTTTGAAGAATATAGTACTCCAGAAAAAAAAATTTGCAGACATCTCTATGTTTTGTGGTTGTGCACTTTTGAATAAGAATTTAGGAAGATTTTGATTGTCAGGGTTATTGATCTTAATATAAGCCCAAATCAGGCTTTTGTAATCCTGATCCAGCATGTATGTCAGGAAAAATTTTAGTCATTCTGAACAACTGTTCTTATGTTATGATTTTCCAAGTCTAAGAATGTTTAGTTTCTGTTTCCATATGTTACAAACTGTGTTTTCTTTTCTCCGTTATGAATCGATCAAATGGTTATTTTGGTTGAGACTTTAGCAAATCTAACTAAAGACTGGAAGAAATTGAAGGTGAATCTTGCAGAACTAGATCAATGCACCAGTTGAGGGGATCATTCGGCAATCAAATAATGAGTTACAAAACTAGCTGTATTTTGAGTGCTGATTTTCTCAATTCACAATTCATTTGGTTACATTTTAAGGCAAATATATATGGTCGCATCTTTCCAGAATTCCTTTTTCCGGATTGCATCTTAGAAATTACGGGAAAAGTGGTTTTGAACATAAAAGAAATGGTAAAAAAATGAAGGGTGATCCTTGATAAAAAAAAAATTAAAAAAAAAAAGTGACAGGACAACATATGGATGAGAGATTTTGCGATGAAATACGAAGATTTTTGCAGAATGGTGGTGGTTATTTCAAGAATTACAATGCACAGAAATTATTGTGTCTCTCCGTCCCAAAAAAATATTTCAGTTTGAGTTTTGGAATTTGAACTAAAAGTAATACAAATTTGAAAACTCAATGTGAACTATTTTTTTGGGACGGAGGTAGTAAAAGAAGACATTTATGAGATACATATTGTGGAAATCCGTTGCAATAGTCCATACAATAAGGCAGGGAGACTCTAGGAATTTGTTGTGCCGTGATACAAATTACAAAGTACAAACGATCAAGTACCTTTTGGAAAGACAATGGACTCAGGAGATTAATGTATCTACCGGAGGCAAAATATTATTACTATCGTACTAAAAAAATAGTCCACATTGAATTTTTATTTTTGTAATTTTTTAATACAAATTTCGAAATTCAAAGTGGAATATATATATATATATATATATTTTTTTTTGGGACGGAGGGAGCATGACATATGCTGCATTTTGGTGGTTTCCTTACATGATTTGCCGTTAGATGTAAAGTAATGGTTAAAATATGTAGGGGGCTCCCAAGTCCCAACTCCCAACTCCCAACTCCCAACTGTGTCCAAGCCGAAATGACAAAATCCCATTTCTTGAATATTTAATTTGGCCCAAATTTTTGGTCCATTTTGAATCCTAAATTGCAGCTGCTCAAATTTGGGCATGAGGCTTCAATTTACCGGAAAACAGAACCAAAAAGGAGAGAGGGGCTAGGAGTTCCTGCAAGAGTTCCACGGTAGTATAGTTTGATTTTTTTCATGCCCGTTAGTTCTGAAATTTTCAGGAGATTGTGAGCTTTTTTTTTTTTTTTTTTTTTTTTTTGGAAGTTGTCGGTGTTTTTGGTAATAATTTAGAGTTATAACTCGTTAGGTTCAAAATTGTCATTCCCCGGTCTATGTTTGTCTTTGTTATTAGTATTGTCTACCTTGTATCTTAACTTGACGGCATGGGTACGATTTGGAACTGTTGTTACTATTGTCTTGGGGAGACGGCTTATTGTTAATTATTATTGTGTTGAACTCTTTTTTAGCAAAAATAGAATTCTGTTTTGTTTTTTAAAATGGATTGTAATTTAGTTAAAAGATTTTATTTACAAATTACAATAATCTATACTATTATACTAAGAGAGAAACCATAAAGAGGAAATCAAACTTCTCCTCCCGTTGACACATAAGACAAAATCCTACGTGTCATTTTTTTATAGGTTGACACAAAAAATATTTACAACAATTACACTAACAGTCTTTTTAATTTTCAGTAAATAAAGTTTCATCAAATCGTAATTAAATTCTATCAATTAATTGGGGGCTAAACTTTCACTTTTAAATTCGGTCAAACAAAAAAAAAAAACGGGACATTTTTTTTTAAAAATCAACATTAATGGTTTCTTTCCATTTGGTGCCATAAAGAAAAGGTAAAATTGATTTGATTTATTATAATTATTGCTGATTGATTTGAATAAATTTTCGGATTGACTTAAATAAAGCTCCAATTATGGTTGATGACCTTACCTAAACAAACCATGGCCAATGACCTTACCTAAAAAAAACTCAAAATTAGTGCTAAATCTTTTTTAATCGGAAAGTTGAAATCATAATATCAACATTAATGTAATTTCGAGTTTTTTGCACAAAAAAAAAAAAATTAAACTCAAACATATTAAATATGTTAAATATTTCAATATACATATATAATCCTGATTTTTTTATTAATTAGGTTGTAAATTAGACAAAAAAAAATCAATATTAATGGTTTCTTTCCATTTGGTGTCATAAAGAAAAGGTAAAATTGATTTGATTTTATTATAATTATTAGTGATTGATTTGAATAAATTTTTTAATTGACTTAAATAAAGCTCCAATTATGGTTGATGACCTTACCTAAAAAAACTATGGCCAATGACCTTACCTAAAAAAAATCAAAATTAATGCTAAATCTTTTTTAATCGGAAAGTTGAAATCATAATATCAACATTAATGTTGATTCGAGTTTTTTGCACAAAAAAAAAAAAACTCAAACATATTAAATATGTTAAATATTTTAATATTTATATATATAATCCTGATTTTTTTATTAATTAGGTTGTAAATCAGACTAAAATATCTTAACATTTTGAATTTTAAAATTTGATTTGAATTATGATAAGCATTAATCGAGTTTAATTTTAGCGTTTCATTGTGTTGGAGGTGCAACTTCACTTGGGCCGACAACCATTCATAGGTCCGATAAATATTCTTGTATGGCTTATTGGGCCGGCTAAAAGCCCTAACAATGGCCCAAGCCCATCATTGAAAGGAATATTCTCTAGGAATATTATAGAGAATATTCCTTTCACCTTATCTATATATACCCCATTTTCGGTGGTGGAGAGTAAGCTCACTTTCACTCCCTTCCTAGCTCACATGCTTTATTTCTATCACTCCTTGGACTGACTTGCTCGTCGGAGTGCTAACCCTTGTTTTGCAGGTCTCAGGTCCATAGACACCGTTGGCCCTCGTCCTAACGGATTTCACCCTCGACAAATGGCGCCGACTGTGGGGACGCCAATGTCCTCAATTGAAGGTGAACCTTTAGTCTTGGTGTCTATAGATCGGGATCAAAAAAGGGTTTTGAGCTGCCAACGTGAGTTTGCAAATTTCATGTTAGCAATCTGGTTGTTTGGGAGTTTTGAGCTGCGCCTCCAAGTAAAGCCCTCATAGACAGAAAGGTTTTCGTCATCACAAACCTTGAACAGCCGGGGCAACCTTCGGCAGCCCCGTTTGGCATTCGGCATGTGGTCATTGTCATTACAGACGGCCGGAGCAACCGTCGGCGAGTGCGGAGCTAAAGCAGTTCAACCAGAATCCAAATTCGCTTGAAGAGGTTGAATCCAGATCCGGCGGTTTCCACGCTGGGCCATGCAACTGGCATCCGTTTCTCCTCCTTTCATCCCCAGCTTCGTCGAGAAAGGGAGAAGGGAAGTCATCCTTTGGTTGTCGTCGTCATCGCCTAATTGCAGCTGGTGTCTTGACTCCAACTTCAGTCTTCGATTTCGGCATCGTCGTCGGCAGTAACGGACGGTGACAGCGGCTGCTTCCTCTCCCTCGTCGGATTCCAAGGTATCGGCGTCCAATCTCGAGTTCGAACCTGGCAGCCGCGGTTCAAAGCCATCGCTGGCAGCGGCGTCGTCAGGCCATGATCCACCTTGAAACGAACCCCAGTAGGGTTCGGCTCACCGCCCGCGGCAACAAGGAGTTCCAGTGCGACCTTACCCAGCCTTTGGTCACCATTGGGAAGCTTCAGCCCCAAAACACCAGCAATCGTCTTCGGCAACCACCACCCTGGAACTGAAAGCGTCCGCGATCAAAAGCTGCCGGCGGGGCAAGAAAGCCCTGTAGTCGTCATCAGTGGCAGCGGTTTCATCGGTGGCGGCCACCTTCGGTTCGTCAATCATCATTCTTCACGAAAAAGAAAAGGCGGAGACAGCACCGACGGCAACACCGGTGGCAACCGAAAGTTTTGTGCCGGAAGCAACCGAAGATGGTTTCAACCGAGCTTCCGCCGTCGTCCACAAACCGAAGCCGCCTTCGACGATGCGTTTCACGTTCGTGCAACTTCGCCGTCTGCGGCTTGCTTCACCCGCGGACGGGTTCGATCTTGCCTTCGGCTTCGAGTTTGATCTCACCTTCGAGACTCCGAGACTATAGTCTCGTGCATCATTAGGAGCTCTCCGAGAGTATAGCCCCTCGGCACAACCAAGATAAGTGTTCTTAACCACTCTATCACTATTTGAGGATCCATTTTCTTAAATAATTTTATTTGGGGGGAGGAGTTGGATATGTGGTTATACATATTTCCTCCTTGCTACGTGATTATAAATTCAATCAAATGCTTAAAGCGACATAGCCAACATAAATACACCATTATGGCATGACATATAGAGAATAGAGCTATCATAGTTCATACACTCTTTGTGCTTTCGAATATGGTTCATATCTGATTATGTGCTATGTCCCCCTTTACCCTCGGAAATATGAGAAAAAGGAAATAAAACTATTTAAGAAAATGGGCGCCTGTTCTTGGGTAATATATCTATGCTTGGTGATTTGAAAAGATGGGTTGTTTTTAGAAAATTTGGTCCGAAGACGATCTACCCTTCACTTTGAAAAACCATTTTGAAAATTAGATATAATATCCTTACCAAAGATTTGAGTTATGGAACGGGGGGCACGTCTTTTATCTTGAACACTCGCATTCGTGTCGTAAATAAAGATGTAATCCTTCTCTCGAAACTTTGTTAACAAGTGTATGGGGTTAGTATATAACATACTCTTAATTGCCTTTGTGTATACTAAGAACAAAGGAATAACCCCTTTGCAAAATCTGGACGCCATGCAGGGCTTCACAAATCCGAGGACGCCTACATGTCCGAGGATGTCGTCTCAATCCGTGGATGCCTACATGTCCAAAGATGAAGGCTCATCAATCCGAGGACGAAGGCGCCAGGATGTCAGCAAAGCCCGTCTCGATCCCCGTGGTCAACGGCACCGTGTGGCCTCCGTGGTCTTGGAGCTTTTGTAAGCCCCTCTCGATCCCTGTGGTCGACGGCACCGTGCGGCCTCCGCGGCCTACGGCACTCCTACGGCCTCCGTGGTCTTGGAGCTCTTATAAGCCTGTCTCGATCCCCGTGGTCGACGGCACTGTACAGCCTCCACGGCCTACGGCACTCCTACGGCCTCCGTGGTCTTGGAGCTTTTATAAGTCCGTCTTGATCCCCGTGGTCGACGGCACCGTGTGGCCTCCGTGGTCTTGGAGCTTTTGTAAGTCCGTCTCGATCCCCGTGGTCGACGGCACTGTACGGCCTCCGCGGCCTACGACATTCCTACGGCCTCCACGGTCTGGGAGCTTTTATAAGCCCGTCTCGATCCCTGTGGTCGACGGCACTGTATGGCCTCTGCGGCCTTGATGCGTTGGAACCTGTATTGCCTTCCAGAAGGCACGAGTTCAAAGGCAGACGCCTTCGACCTTCTGGGCACGAAGGTCCGATCCCGCCACACTCAATCAGGTACATGACATCATTCTAAGATCTTTTGTGAACGTACCATGTTTCCTTTTTATCTTGAAGATCTAGCATACATGTGAATTGTGCCAACTCAAATACTATAATGATATAACCCATCTAGCCCCAGATTTGGCTGATGGGAACTAATTACTCCTTGAAACCGTGTTGGTAAGCTTGTGGGTCCGAAACTCATATGGTCTTGATTTGCCTTAGGCTTAGAAGCTCACGTGGCATTGATCAACCTTCGAGTTCACACTCGTAGGGGTTTGACTTGCCCTCGAGTTGAGCACTTACACGGTGTCGATTAGACTTGGAATTATACGCTTCTACAGTTTAGATCCACCTTTGAGTCAACAACCCCTTACGGCGTCGGCCATCTTCTGAGTTTTATGCCCAATAAGCTTCTGTTCGCTTGTTGGTTACTTACACCTGTAGTCTCGATCAGCCTTAGACTTGGCCTAACTTCGTCCGTGAAATCCTTCTACTTCCTTCCTAAGCAAGGGGGGAGGGCTCCTAAGGTGGACAATGTTGCTTTTTATCGTAGCCTACCTGGGCAACAAGCATCATGGCTGGGGGGTGGGGGGAGGGGCAAAGAAGTTGAAATAACCCACTTCAAATCCTCTCCAACTCTTTCATGTTATCATCACAAAAATGATAAAGTTTCATGTGCTCACGTTCATTCAATCGAGTGGTAACACAATGAACATTAGTCTTTGGGTTAGAAACTCACGCAGCGTCGGTCAACCTTTGAGCTCTATAATCATACGATCCTAACTCGGCTTCGAATTATACGCTCTTACAATTTTGACCACCCTGAGTTAACAACCCTCACGGCCTCAATCAAGCCTCTTTATCTCATACTCTCTCGACTCTGGCTCTATCTTGAGAAAGGTACACACACGTACTTGTTCAGCCTAGGGGTCGTACAAACTCTGTAATTGGCTAAACACGGCCAAGGGACATTAATCACCTACGTAACTCCAATCAAGTAATTAGCCAACTATACTCAAATACGTGTTTTATCTATGGAAGAAAGCTTATCCCAACAAGTACACCGTCGACCCCGGTGGCCGATGGTGCTCTTGCGCCCCCTGGGCCGCGGAGCTCTCTCAAAATTGTGCAGACCCCGTTGTTGATGGCACATATTGCTCTTTGGGCTTACAACTTCTTTATTACACTGAAAAGTTATACAAGTTTCGTAAGCCCATACACAAAAAACACGCTTCTAAAACGTTTCTAAATATAAAACTTTGGGGGAAGGGACGATCACTATTCTCTAAACGTCTAACAGAAGTTTTATATATAAGGGACGATCACTATCCTCTAAACGTCTAACAAAAGTTTTATATATATAAAACGATAAATTAGTAGGCGCGTACATAAACAATCAAATGTTATAACAACGTATTCAAGGACGGAGCAAACAAGTGAAAGGAAATAAAAGGTAAGGAAGTGGGGTTGTTTGTTCAAAATAATCCATTCTATTCTATCACTTCCTACGAATACACTTGCCCTGGCCACTAAAGCCGGACCTACTCCTGATTAGGATGACCCTCGTCCTAACTCATGAAAGAGCTTGGTTGTATCCACCACTCAGCCTCGCATATAGGTGATCCAGGGTCGACCCACATTCGGGGCAAGGTTCGGGCCAGTAGGATCAGAAGTCGTATTCCTTACCTCTTTCCACGATAAAATGGGTAGAGTCTGTTAAAGCCAACTGCAACTAACTAGTGTATGCCCGAAGCAACGATATTCTGTCAAAGACTCCATCCCACTTCACGGCAACTAATGCTTAAGCCCGCCGAGGGCGAATCAGAACGCTTTTATAGCAGTTAAATGGGATGAAGTCTTCAGAGTCAGGTTCTGCCTATTTAGGCGCCCGTTTTTCCGCCTGTTTTCTAAGCACCATATTAAGTCTTCAGCGCCATTGGCACCCCTTTACTTGAGTGACCTTCATATTACCAGGCGGTGGCAATACCTTTCATCCTTTGAACTCTCGCCCCCGAGAGAGAAAGCAATTCTTATTAATGTATCCTTCGGGTCGAATCATAATCCCCGATGATGCATTGTTGACTTCACGCGAATTTAACGATAGTTTTTGATGGTACTATTCGGACAACACTTTGTTATGCTCCGTTGCCATCTCTCTTATCAAAGCGTGACTTCTTCTCAAGAGTTTATATATATATATATATATATATATTACTCAGCTTCAATGACCAATGTTGCACTATTCTTCCCGGCTCAGTCCATTATGACGCAGGTCAATGTGGGAGTTTGTTTATTGATTCGTCTAAAGTTAGGATAAGACTCTTCCTGTTTACCTGCGCTTGTGAATGTTTTTCTACCTTCGAAGATGAAAGGGGCAACCTGTTTGCCCCACCTTCTTCGAGTTCGAATATACACTGATTATTCGTCTCGACAACATCCCTAGGCTTACTACAGGCCGCTGAGATTTATGTCTTCTCGACGATGCCTCTCGTTCTGTCTGATCGCTTACACACTTGTCCAAGGGTACTGGCAGGAGGATTACTCCTCTTCGCTTATCTGTTGATTATCGCAAGTGTCCTTTCCGAAAACATCATACGGGGGCAACTTCTTAGCTCTAATCACCTCTCCTGACGGTTGAACCTACCTACTGACTATTGACGTTTCGATGATCATCGTACGCCTCTTCACTTATCGTCAGGTTTCAGATCTTGCTCACGGAATGTCCGTGACGCCTTCGGTCTTTATTGAGCAATCACTGTTGGTTTTCGTCACTTGATGACTTAAGCAGCGTCGGCTTTGTTCAAAAGTAAACTTTTGACTCCTCGTTGGTCGTCTTCAGCTGATGATAACCTAACTCAGTCTGATGGTCCGTCATGATCCACTTTTCATTGTCTCTACCTATGTAATCGAAGCTTCGGACCTCTTTTGCGTCCGCGGGGGACCACGGATGCCCTTACTATGTTATCCGACGTATCAGACAACGTCGGACTCCAAACTCATGCTCCTAAGTAACTAGTAATCCGATGATGATTTCCCTCGGTCTACCCTGTGCCTACACGGGTTGTAATTAACTTACATTGTGTCCATAGAAACCTTTTGGCCTTCCTTGGGCCATCATTATTAGCTTTGGTTACTCGGCTACTTCATTAACCTTGGTTTATCTCCAGCGAGCTTTTAGCTCCTCGGACGTTCATCCTCGTCTATGGACATTCAGATAACGTTCTTCTACCAAGTCAGTCTACGCTGTGTCTCGGGTTCAGACACAAGGCCGGGTTAACCTCGGATCGAACTTTTCCTTACATACCCGCTGTTGACCAATCACGCAGCAGTTACAAACTTCTTTCTATCATGCCCCAATGAGATCTAACCGTGATGTTGTTCCAACCTATCACGTGCCGTCACAAGCTTTGACGTCGCCTCTCCGAAAAGAATTCTTTGTCACCTTCTTTCTTTCGTGACCTCTTTGTTGGATCGGGAATAAACTGCTCAAATGATTTGTGTCTCTTTGCTTTGGTGTCCACACAAGTGGCACACTCGGTTTCAGCTTATCTCTGGGCATGTGCGGTAGCCAAATGCGACGGTTCCCTCGACAAGGGTTCGGCGTGACAATGTTTTGCACTCCGCTTACAGTTACATGTTATTACTCTTCAGCCACCACGGAGGGTTATGGGTTTATCTGATCAGGTAGACCCTTGAATGGACGGATCCCCCGCGAGTCCGCACTACAGGTCCATGTTATTATTTACCAAGTATTGTATTCAAACCCTGTTATTGCATATATGTGCTTCTCTACTAACACTTGGCAGGGGCATTTGTTGGAGGTGTGATAACGGTTAAATTGTTACATAAAAGCATCACACTTAACTTTATATTTGATGAACAATTGGGGGTATTTCCTAACATTGATGCAAATTACTTAGCTCATTTTCATGTTATTGTTAGGAAAGGACCAGACTGAATAATTGCTGAAAATTGGAAGCCAAAGGAGCAAATTATGGGCTGCTGAGGCAAGATTGCTGAGCTGGACGAAAGAGAAGGCTCTTAGACAAGAAGCATCTTGTCATTAATAACCTTGCTTCCTCCTAGAGCATGCTGTCCCCCAGCCGCAATCCCAACCACCACTGCTGATCAATGAGAGCAAAGCGGGTACTGCTGGAAGAAAGAAAAGGAACAGCCAAGTGGATTGCAGGCTCAAGACATTGGGAGGATTAAACAACTCCAAGCATGGGGAGGTTCTCATGATGAAGACACTTGCAAGACACTATAAAGAAGGGAGCTGCACTCTCAAAAGGGGGGGATCTCTCCATCAGTCTCTGGTTAGCTTCTTAGTTGCAAAAACACTCAGAAAAACTCCAGGTAGAAGACAAGAAAGAAGAAGAAGAAGCAACAACTCAGTGAGGAAGCCAAGTTGAAGAGTAGCAACCTAGTTTCTTTTTCAGTTCCACAAGTGAACCCTTTCACTCCCAGGAGTGACTCAGAAACTGCACCAGCTTTCTCCTCATCTTTTGACTGTTAGCTTGAATTTTGTTTACTATGCATACTTCTATGATGTCTTTTGATGTAGTAGATGTAGCATTTATCCGTATGAGTAGCTAAACAGTTTCCAGGGGTTATTCTCCTCAACTGATGTTATAGTTGTCAAAGCACTGGTTTTGTTCATTGTTTTATGGTTGAAAGCTTTTCTACATTCATTTACTTGATCACTAAATTGAATGCATGCTAGAACTAAGGGAGATCTGGAAGGATAAACTTGGTTTGGATTGTTTCAACTTTAACTTATGACATAGAGGTAACAGTCTATGGTTTTAACTAAGATAGGAATATACTTAGTTAACATAAGCATTCTTGAAGGCCTAAGAACTTAATGACTTTGTAGCCGGAATCAACCATTGGAAAATAGGTTGTTAAGGTTG